GAAGAGAGGTTATTCTCCTGAAGAGATGATTGCTTTTGGTTTTTCTCTGATTCATCTTGTACTCTCACTAGTGAAGAATTTCTTTTACTTGCAGACTTAAGTGTGTTGGAGGATTTGTGTGTGTGTGTGTGTGTGTGTGTGTGTGTGTGTGTGTGTGTGTGTGTATGATGTTCCCTGCTGAAGGCTCAGGAAAGAGCAGAAACTGGCCTGGGGTCTTTAAGCCTGTGGACTGATAGTATGTAATGGGACTTCTATGTTGCAACCCTCAGGAGGATCTCAGATTTTTATCCTCTTTCTAATTTCAAGCCTGTGTTTTCACCTGTCAGCAGGACATCTGGATCTATTTGTGCCTTAGGCTTTTTATTTTTAAAGATTTTATTTATTTATTTTTTAGAGAACGTGGAAGGGAAGGAGAGAGAGGGAGAGAAACATTGATGTGTGGTTGCCTCTCAAGCCCTCCCTACTGGGGACCTGGCTGTCAACTCAGGCATGTGCCCTGACTGTGAATTGAACCTGTGACCCTTTGGTTTGCGGGTGTGTGCTCAATCCACTGAGCCAAACCAGCCAGGGCCTGTGCCTTAGGCTTTTTAAATTTAGTAGCACATGGTAGGGATGTTTGATAAAAGTGATTTTTCATTTTGGTGATAGTATATGACAGCACTTAACACAGGATCTGGCATATTGTAGATAGCCAAGCGGTGATAGAGAGTATGTGAGAAATATTTTCAAACACTTAAATCTTTTTCTAGGTCTCCTACTTCTCATGTGCCCCCATGCTTACTTTTAGGATGAAGAGATAGGTAAAGCCCTGGCTGGTGTAGCTTGGTTGGAGCGTCATCCTGTACATCAAAAGTTTAGGGGTTTAATTCCCATCAGGGCACATCCTAGGTTGCAGGTTTGATCTCTGGTTAGGGTACATATGGGAGGCAACCAATTGATGTTTCTCACAGAGATGTTTCTCTCTTCCTTCCTCTCACTCTGAAATGAATAGACATTTTAAAATGAGAGAGAGAAATAGGGGATAGCTACATGGATTCCATCTTTGGAAAGCTTCCATTTTCTTGTTGGTGGCTTTATGTTCAGGCAAGAAATGTAATATGCTCCTACATATCTGAGAGTAGATACATCTGGACTCTGTCCACTAGGTTATTTAAAACCTCGCCCCAGACAGAGAATGTTCCAAACAAACTAGCATGTCTTACCACCTTGGGCAACTTAGCAGGAACCTAGTGTTGAGGATCTTAGTGGAGAGGTGTGTGAAAAACTCTGGGGTAGTTGTGGCAAGGTGGTGGTAGATGTGTGAGGCTGGACATGAGTTTACCTTAGCCAGGATAGCTTGTTAGGTGCAGGCATGGAGGAAGGGATAAGGTGCGGGGGGAAGGGCTTAGCTCTGTCATTTTCTGCTCATAGGGAGATACAGGTACTTGTTCCAGGTGCAGAGCCTTGGTCTACTGTGCCTGTTAACCTCCCTGTGAATGTCACCTCCTGGTTGCTCTGCAAGGCTTTTGGGGATAAATAAGAGATGAAATAGGGACTCTGAATCAGATAGCCTTGTTTTAAGCTTTACAGATATGCAGGGTGAAAGTGTGCCTCTCAGAATCTGTTTCCATGTGCCAAAATTAGAGGAATCCCATCCAGATCTAGGAGAGTTTTTCTCCCTCTTATGCCCCCTCAGCTTACCTCGATCTTAAGCTTTTATCCCTTTATCCTGTCACTGACCTGGCTTCTGGGAAGAGGAGGGAAAAGGGTGAGGGAAGTTGGGGAGAGTTAAAGAACTGGTGGGGGTATGTGGGTTTACTATCCTTAGATCGTTTTTGGAACACAGCGTAGGTGTGGGGAGGAGGATGAGTGAGTGGCTGGGAGAACAACAAATGCCACCTGTATCACTTGTCTGGCACTCATTCTGGACCCTTGGTTGGTATTATCAATCTTCTATGTTTTTCTTTTCTCCCATTTAAAATATCAGCATATATGCAACATGTAATTTCATATTAATGGAATCATACATTAATACTGTTTAAAAAATTTTTTAAATTGTTGTTCAGTTACAGTTATCCCTATTTTTCCCCTGTTGCTCTCCTGTGCCCTGCCAAACCCCCCCTCCTGGTTTTTTTTCTTTAATACTGTTTTGTAATTCTTTTTTTACCTTTTCCTCCAGTTTTATTGAGATAAAATTGACATACAACATTATATAAGTTCAAGGTGTACAGTGTGATGATTTTATATACATATGCAGTGTTAAATGATTACCACATTCATTACCACACATAGTTACCAATTTTTTGTATGTATATGGTGAAAATTTTTTTTAAATTTTTTTATTGATTATGCTGTTACAGTTGTTCTGTTCCCCCCTTCATTCCCCTCCACCCTACCCCCTGTCCCCACCATTACCCCCCTTTAGTTTATGACCCTGTGTCTCAAGTCCTTTAGATTCTATATTTCCCATGCTATTCTTGCCCCCCCCATCTATTTTCTATCTACTGTCTATGCTACTTATTTTCTGTACCTTCTCCCCCCATCTCCTCCTCCCACTCCCCTGTTGCTAACCCTCCTTGAGATCTTCATTTCTATGTTTCCACTCCTGATCTAGCTGTCCTTTTAGTTTGCTTTCGTTTTAGGTGTGGTTGTTAATAACTGTGAGTTTGTTGTCCTTTCACTGTTCATGTTTCTTTAACTTCTTTTTCTTAGATAAGTCCCTTTAACATTTCATATAATAAGGGCTTGGTGATGATGAACTCCTTGAATTTGATCTTATCTGAGAAGCACCTTATCTGTCCTTCCATTCTAAATGAAAGTTTTGCTGGATAGAGCAATCTTGGTTGTAGGTCTTCGGTTTTCATGACTTGGAATACCTCTTTCCAGCCCCTTCTTGCCTGTAAGGTCTCTTTTGAGAAATCCGCTGACAGTCTGATGGGGACTCCTTTGTAGGTGACTGTCCCCTTAGCTCTTGCTGCTTCTAGGATTCTCTCCTTCATTTTAATCTTAGCTAATGTAATTATGATGTGCCTTGGTGTGTTCCTTCTTGGGTCCAACTTCTTTGGTACTCTCTGAGCTTCCTGGATTTCCTGGAAGTCTATTTCCTTTGCCAGATTGGGGAAATTCTCCTTTATTATTTGTTCAAATAAGTTTTCCACTGGTGGCTGTGCCTTTCCCCCTTCTGGTACCCCTGTAATTCGGATGTTGGAGCGTTTAAAGATGTCCTGGAGGTTCCTAAGCCTCTCCTCATTTCTTTGAATTCTTGCTTCCTGACTCTTTTCTGTTTGGCCATTATTTGCTTTCTTCTGGTCCACTCCATTGATTTGAGTCCCAGTTTCCTTTTCATTGCTATTGGTGTCCTGTGTAATTCCATTCATTTCAATTAGTTTCGCCTTCATATATTTGTCTAATTTGTCGGTATAATCAACCAGTTCTGTGAGGATCCTGATGACCAGTGTTTTAAACTGTGCGTCTGAGAGTTTTGCTATTTCTTCATCGCTTAGATCTATGGGCTGTGGGGCTTTGAGATCTTCTCGCGACATTTTTGGTCTGTTCTGGCCCTTTAAGTGTGAGAAGCGGTGCCTTAGACTCCCAGGTCGCTGGGTTGTGACGCTGTATGTGAGGGCGTGGTCAGAGCGGGGAAATGGTGGCGCCTTCTGCTGCCGCTTGCCGCGGGGACCTGTGGGGGCCCCGGTCCAACTGCCCACTCCCTCGCCTGTCTGCTGGCGCACAAATGGGCGACCACAGTCAACATGCAGCACCGCTTCCCCGCTGTCTCCTCCGTGGTCACTCACTAGGTCCAACCCTGCGCCTGGATTCCACGTGTCTGGATTCCGCACCTCTGGATTCCGCTCCTGAGTCCGGCTGACCAAGTCCTCCTGTGCAACCCCTCACCAGCCGCTGGTTTCGCCCCTTACCGGTCAGGCTGAAGAATTTGTTGTTAACGGACTTCCGAAAAGTTCAATTTTCCGTGTTCTGGCTGTGTTTTCTGTTGCTAATATTTAGTTGTCTCTAAACTTGGTTGTGTGAGAAGGCACCGCACATCCACCTATGCCTCCATCTTGGCGGAAGTCCCGGTGAAAATTTTTTTCATTTGATTGTGTGTTATAGACATCTTTTCATGTTAACCAATACAGAGTAAGTTTTTGAATTGTATTTCAATATGTGGCTATACCGTAATGCACTTTATTCTCTAACATTTAATCTATTTCATTTGTTATCAGTGAGGCCTTTCCTGACTCCCCTACTTAAAATTGTAACAAATCTTTCTTTCGTATTTCCTTCCTGTCTTTTATTTTTCTCTATAGCATTTAGCACCACTTGATACACATTTAAAAAAAGATTTTATTTATTTTTCGAGAGAGAGGAAGGGAAGGAGAAAGAGAGGGGGAGAAACATCAGTGTGTGGTTGCCTCTTGTGTGATCCCCCACTGGGGACCTGGCCTGCAACCCAGTCATGTACCTTGACTGGGAATCAAACCTGTGACCCTTTAGTCCATACCCCATGCTCAATCCACTTAGCTACACCAGCCAGGGCTTGATATACATTTTAAAATTTTATTTTTTTGTTGTCTAACAAGTTCCATTAGAATGTAAGCTCAGTGAAGACAGGGATTTTTTTTTTTACTCATTAATTTATATCTGGCACTAACAACAGTTCTTGGTCACAATTGGTGCTCAATAAATATTTGTTGAATGAATGAATTTGTTGGATTTTTGTGTACCTATTGGGCTTTTTATTTGCAATATTTTTGTTATTTTATACTTTCTGTTATTATATACTTTCTTTGATACTGTTATTATATACCCTGATAAATGTTATGATCTTTGCATACTTGTATACTTATTCCTTAGGATAAACTTCAGGAAATAATGGCTGAGTTAACGATATGCACATTTAAAATGTTGACTCGTTTTAACCTTTAAGAATGTTAACTTCTATCAACAGTTATAAGATTGCCAGTTTCTCCATATTATGAATAACACTGGGTTGTGTGTTTTTTGTATTCCTCATCTGACAGGTGAGACATGGTCTTGACACTGTAACAGAGAATGTAACTCTGGAGCCAGCCTGCTGGGTCTTGAATTCTGACTCAGCCACTTACTATGTGACCTTGGGTAAGTCATTTACCTCTCTTCCCTCAGTTTCATTTTTGATAATAAAGTGGGGATAATGACAATAGTACCTATTTTGTGGGGGGATAAATAAATTAATTCAAGTAAAATGAATTCAAATAGTAACAGATATAACATGCAATAAGTATGGTTTAAATTATATTTCTTTGAATATTAAAGATTATCATCTTTTCAGATGTATTTTGAACATTTGTATTTTTTTCTTTGGATCACTTAATGTCCTTTGTACATTTTCCCAGTAATTTGTAAGAGTTAAAGTGTTGATTCTTATATATGGTACAGAGTTGTTCCCAGTTTGTCATCTTGCTTTCATCTTTGTTTATGCAGTTTTTTTTTCTGCCTAGAAGTTTTATGTTTTTAGGTAGTCAAAATAATTTTTTCCTTTATAGTTTTCTCTCCTACTAAGCCTGTGCTTAGAGAAGGTATGCTTTAATAGACAGACAGCTGTCAGAGGGGAAGGGGACTTGGAGGGCTGGGTGAAATAGGTGAAGGGATTAGGCAAACAAACATATAAGACAAAAACAAAAAAACTCTTCACAGGCACAGATAACAGTATGGTGATTACCAGAGGGAAAAGGGGTAGGGGCAGGTGGAAGAGGGTAAAGGGGGTATAATTGGTGACCAAAGATGACTAGACTTTGGAGGAAGAAACACAGTACAATTACAGATAATCTATTATAGAATTGTGCACTTGAAACCTATATAATTTTATTAACCAATGTCACCCCAATGAATTTAATTAAAATATATAAATTGAAAAAGACAAGGCTTGCTTTGTTATCTCAAAATTATTTTTGAGATAAAAGTAGTTGCCCATTTTCTTTGAGAACTTTGTGTGTATATGTAATTTAAAATCTTTAAATTTAAATCTTTATTTGGAATTTATTTTGATATGAAGACAGCAGTTGTGATGTGTGTATTTTTTTAAAGATTTTACTTATTAATTTTTAGAGAGAGAGAAGGGAGGGAAAAAGAAAGAGAGAAACATTGATACGTCAGAGAAACATCGATTGGTTGCCACTCTCATGCCCCCAACTGGGTACCTGGCTGGCAACCCAGGCATGTGCCCTGGCTGGGAATCAAACTGGAAATCTTTTGGTTTGCTTGGTGACGCCCAACCCACTGAGCCACACCACTCAGGGCTGGCTCTATTTCTTTTTAGTTGGGTAGTTTCCCAAACCCATTTATTGAAAAAGAAGGAGCAAGAGCAGGAGCAAGAATCAGGAAGAATTCTCCTTCTGGAGAATAGGTTCTCTCCTCCTTTAATTTGAAAGTAGGATATCGTAGAGGTAGCAAATCTCCACCTCAAACTCAGTCAGTAGTCAGTATCTTTCTGCTCCTAAGCTTCTCTCCTCCTTTAATTTGAAAGTAGGATATCGTAGAGGTAGCAAATCTCCACCTCAAACTCAGTCAGTAGTCAGTATCTTTCTGCTCCTAAGCTGTGGGATGAATATGCTGTGTAAAGCAGTTTGGGATTGGAACTCACAACTTGACTCGAAGTGATGAGATTGGTACACTCACTGGTACAATTCTCTACTGGCTCTGGAGGCTCTTTCTAAGTGGATCCTAATTTGAAGAGGACATTGTTAGTTTGGAATGTTAAGTTCTTTGTTCAAGAAACAAATGAAGTGACAATAGCAGATATTTCCTTACTCCAGCCTGAGGGTATGGTTAGGGTATTGATAGGAGGTACTGAATAATAATAAACTCATCAGCTCATTTTGAAACTCTAGTTCCATCTTGCCTCTGACTCAAGATAGAGGGAGGATGATTTTTGTAAAGTAGAGCATCCACATATCCTATGTCAGCTACTGTCTGCCAGAGATGAAAAGAAGGGCAGCTCACTCTTACATGGTATATATTATGTACCAGGAACTGTTCTAAGCACCTTACATATGTTTATGTACCCTTCCTGAAGCAGATCCTCTGTACTGGGTTGAATAGTGCCCCACCCCTATTTATGTCTACCCATAACCCATGAATGTGATTTTGTTTGGAAATAGGGTCTTTGTAGATAAAGTCAAGTTAAGATGAAGTCATACTGGTTTAGGGTTGGTCCTAATCCAATGACTGGTGTTCTTATAAGAAGAGGGAGACATACACAGAGGGAAGATGGCCAGATGAAGATGGAAGCAGAGATATAAGTTATGCTGCTACAAACCATGAAGGGCAAAGGTAACTGACAGTCATCAGAAGCTGAAATAGGCAGATAAGGATTCTTTCCTAGAGCCTGTAGAGGGAGCATGGCCCTGCTAACAACTTGATTTTGGACTTCTAGCTTAGAACCGTGAGAGAATAAATTTCTGTTGTTTAAAGTTATCCAGTTTTTAGTATTTGTTACAGCAGCCCTAGGAAATCAGTGCACACTCTTATTATCTTCATTTTTCAGGTAAGGAAATGGAAGCCCAAAGTGAGCAAATGTTTGGAAATATCTCTAGGCCACTGCTCTGCTGGCTGAGCACTTATTCTGAAGCTCCTGCCATTGCTCGTTCTCCATCTTCACCACAGCTATCAACTTCTGGTAGTCCTGGGGCTGAGCTGTTGGAATTGCTCCTTTCTCTAACTCAGCAGGCACAATCTTTCCCCATCCGTGCCCACTTCATATCCTAAAGTAGAAACCCTTCTCATGAGGTTTCTGGCTGCAGTCTGATCATTTCACTAGGTGTCTTCCTGCTCATTTCACTAGGAAGGGTTGGGTCTCTTCCCCAACCTTTCAGGTGAAATCTCCAGGCTTTTATATTTCATTTCCATGCATTGTCAGAGAAAAGTGGGTGGCATTTGAGGAGATAGTTGCACAACTTCTAGCAATTGAATTATGCTTCTCATTTCTGGCCTGCTATGCTTCTTGAATTTGTCAGTAGACAACGCAAGTCTTATCTTTCTTTGGCACTTTTGGGATCTCACACACAGCTTACAAAGCACGTATCACAGTTCATGGCTGTGAGCAGAGAAGGAGCTGTTTCATGGTAGTACTGGCTGTGACTGCCCCGGTTACCTGTTCTTGATGAACGCAAGCCACCACAGTGGATCTCTCCCCTGTGGGTGTAGAGGATAAAGACGTTATTTGACCCAGCTCATCTCTCTGAATAAATAGCTCCTTGTCTGCCCATGGTCTCTTCTGCTGGCGTGCCTGAAGAGGTTTCCTCCCTCCATATCCTGTTGCTGGCTGTGTAATCTTGTCTTTTTTCCACTACAGACCTTTTCCTTTGGATCTTGCTCTTAATTGTCAGCTTCTCTCACTAGATTGAGTTCTGGGGACTCAGGAACCATATATTTTGTTTGCTGCTGTATCCAGGACTGGACAAAGACCTGGCACTTACTGGCTAGCTCCTCAGGAAATGTTTATTCAATGAAGAAATGAGTATCAACCTCGAAGCTTTGGAATCGCAGTTTTTCTTGCTTCTTGTTAAAGCCAAAGATCAGATTAAGAACTTTAGAGGGCCTATGCAATAGATGATTATCATGTCCCTCATACTTCAGCCCCCATATATATTTTAAGAACAATATTAAAACAAAAATAAGTATAAGGAAATTTAGCAAAGTATAAGGAAAATCCAGCAAAATTCTGGTTTTTACCATTGTGACTGATGGATAAATAGTAAATAATTTAAAACATTTGTTATTGTGTCTTCTTTGCTAGCTCCCTAAGCACATGCTGTTGGATCATCCTGCCTGGAACAGCCCCTCTTTCACCTTAGACTTCACTTTCCTCTTTACTCCATCTGCTAAAGCTGCCATCTAGCCCTTTTCACCCCCAAGGGGGGTCTGGCTTTTGAGACCCCAGCCTGGGCTAGTGCCCTGGGCTCCCTGGGGACTTGCCAAGAAAATCAAGTAGAACATGAACCATTGCTAAGGAAAACTCCCATACTAAATTGTGATTTATAGTCAGCACAGCACATTGTACTACTTAGGCCACTTTAGTTGTAATAATCTGCTTTCTCATCCTGTGTGTGGAAAGCCCAGAAATTTCCCTGTACTCTTCCGCCTGGATTACTGAGAGAGAACTCAAGACACAGGTTTACTCTGCCTTCTGTATTAATCTGGGCTTTGCTGGGACCGTTCAGAGAAGTATGGTGCAATTCTGGAAGTGGAGCCCAGTCTTCCTACAGGCTGTTCAAAGGCTATGACCATATTCAAATCCTGTTGCTGCTTGATTCCAAAGAGTTTAAAATAGTGTTGGAAATCTCCTAGGAAAAAAAGCACGGTGGTAAGTTCTTGGCTAAGAAAGTGGTGCTTGCTGTCCAGAGCAGGAGGAGTAGCCAAGGCTCCCAAGTTCTATTCTGGACCTGTTGACTCGAGGTGTGATATTCAGTAATCCCAGATGATAATCTGTAGCTCTGATGGTTTCTCATCTCAGCATAGTGATATGGGTTGTCTTGCAGGGAAAGAGACCAATGTACTGGTTCCCTGTTCTCTTGTCATTAGTTGCCTATCCTTTCATTCGAATTTCTAGGCTCCATTTTTAAATGCAGAACCTTCCCCCTGTCCCCCATACACATGGTTAATTTAGGACTCTAGCAATATTATCTATATTTTACTTGAATTAAATTTCATCAGAATTGCTTTCCTTTTATCAGCATGATTAGATCAGGTCTTCTAAGGGATGAGAACTTCGATAGGGTTTAGGAAAGAAAGGAAAGGTTTGTGCACGGCACCTACCTTGGCCTTGTATAGCCAGAGAGTAACATGAAGGCACCAGGTGTATGATGTGCTAGATGAGGAAGAACAAACTCACATCCCTGAAGAGCCAAGCATGTAACTAGATGCTTTTCATATATTTTCTTATCATATTGCAAACCAATATTTATCTCAATTTTTACATGGGCAAGCTGAAAGAGAAGTTATGTAATTTGCCCAGGGTCAAACAGTGAATAAAAGGCTGAACTAGGATTCATTTCTACTCAGGTCTGCAATTCCAAGGCCCATGCTGTTTTTGTAGAGCTCTTCTATCTTTGACAAGATTTAGCAAAGGGGTGTGGGCA